ATATATATAACTAAAAAATTTGTTTTAAACTTGAAGAAATAAAGATAAATTTACTCTAAATTTAAAGATTAAAAACACATTTAAGTCTAAAATTATATAAATTACCCTTTTGAATGAGTAAACTGAAACATTCAGAGCATCTTACTGGAGCTTCAATACCCTGATGGGGATCAGGATTCTCTGGAGTTAAATTTTCATGAACTGCATGAATCACAACCATTGAAAATTAAACTGCACATATTAAATTACAATATGAAATGAATGGTAAGTAATTTTAAAGCGTTTGATTTGAAATTGTAGATGATCCTGTTGTTCCATATACAATTACCAGGTTGGATAACTGGAGGTCGTGGAGGCTGATGAGGAAGTGAAGGTGCAACATTGTGTGGTTGTGTTGCGCAAAATAAGACCTTGTTGATGCCAACGTTACAGTTGGGACAAAATAATTCATGGTTGGGTGGCATCATGAATATATTTTTCAAATAGATTTCTCGCACTTCCTCCGTTGATGACATGGCTATGCCTACAGCTGCTCCATTTCGGACATACACTGAAGAATCAGAAGGATTGAAATAAAGACTAACAGGATCACTATTTTCTTCCTTCATTCCATCGTTTCCAACGTTCCCTCCTTCTATAACCAACGTTTTGCGAACGGGTGCAATTGGAACAACTGCAATTTATATCAGTATTGGAAAGAATTGGATTAGCCCTAGTTTTTAAAGTAATTAGTAACGTTATTAGAAACCAAAAATCATAAAAAGATGAAGATTATAGAGGAAAATCTACAACTATAGCATTAATTTAGTGGTTGATTTTAGGTTCTTAAGTTGGTTCTTTATTGATCAGTCATGTAAAATCATAATCATATATATTCTTTACTGCGTTGGCCATTTTGTATCTTTTGAAATAATAAAATTTTTTAAAATAAAATATAAAGTCTACTTACATGCAATATAAGTATTTTTGAGAAATTATCTATTAAAAAAAATAAATCTCTTAATTTTTATAAAAAAAAAATTCTCTGTTTTTTTTCTTCTAAACTTGTATCCAAATTAAACAAGTTTATAGTTGTGTTTAGGTAAACATTTTAATAATATATATGTACAATATAATTTTATTAAATGAGAGATTAGTTATAGGGTATTGATTGTAAGATTTATAAAAATAAGTTAAAAATAGTTTTTTTTTTTTGTAAAATTTATTGAAATGAGTAAAGAGAATATCATCAAAGGGTGATAAATCATTTTTATATGATTTAAAAAACAGTTGGAAACCCCATAACATACAACAGGACAAGAACAACCTGATGAACAATCAAATAAGCAGAAGCATATATGTGAAGTGAAGAAAGAAAAAATAACAAATTTTCGTGCCAAAGAAAAGATCAAGACTTAAGAGAACATTAAGTGGATGAATTTTTGTGTGAACAACTTAAGAAACTAAATTGCTAAGGTACCTTCTAGATCTGAGTCACCTGAGTCACTTGAGTCCTCTCTCTTTTGACGGGTGTTCAATTTCAGCACTTCAGCCTCCATTATTGTCATGAGGGGCACTCTGGTTACAGCCAAATTTCTTGGAATGCCTTTGTTGTGTGTCCAAAAGGCATAGTGTAAAGTTATTTATATAGTGATTAATGGCATTCTCTGAAGACTGACTTGGCCATCCAGGGTGTGAATGCAACGCAAGTAAATAAATTTAGTTCACATACTGTCATTAATGAAAGGTTGACGATACCATATGACGTAGCATAGGCTTCTAGGCTCTGACGTTCACTCGGTTATATTTCTTTTATAACAAGAATTAAATACATTTCTTTTCATAAGCTAAAATTAGTCTTCTTTTCATTTATAAATACTATATGTTGATGTTAACATGGAATTCACATGTGGAATTGAGATGGACTGAAAAGAGGTAGCTGACAAGGTTAATAATGCTGTAACAATTTTATATATCTAAGCTGGGAGAGCAATTATAAATGATTATAGGGTCATTGATCTAAACTTTAGAGTGGGATTTGGAACATTAATTTGGGTTGGTACGAGTAACTCTTATCATTTAACTAAATAATTAGGATTTTAATTTAACTCTTATAAATGTAAAAAATTTAATTTGAGAGGAGATGTTCACCTATTTTCTTCAAACCTCTAAAAAAGATTGTCCTTGTGCTTGACAAAAAATACTCTTTAATACTAATGATATCACTTAATATAAAAAGTTCACAACTAATATATTCTCATAAAAATAACATTTTTATCAATTAAATATTTTTCTTCAATTTTTTAGTTCATTTTTCATATTTCATATATAATTCACACGATATTTGTTAATATATATATATATATATATATATATTATTAGATAACATATAAAAAAAATATAATTATTTAAAATTTGATATGTTAAATTAGTTTTTAGAATGCTTATAATTAAATTAAAAAAATATATAAATATCTATTGTCGAATAATACATAAAAAAAATATGAATTATATAAAATTTAATATGTACAATCAGACTGATTAAATTTATATTTTAAAAATATTATTTTATTAATTTAATATCATATACGCGGAGAGAAACTTTTATGTAAAAAAAAATGAAGAGAAACTTAAATTAGTTACCAATTATTGATAGTCAAACAAAAAAAAATGAATATGGAGAGGGATTGTTATCGTGGATGACAGCTTTTATTTAATATAAAAATAACATGGAGTCATTCATTGGCATGTATAATTAATTCATTAGTGATATGAAAAGGAAATGATGAATTTTAAAGGTTACGATCCGCTGAAACAAAACTTGGATAACATGGTAGAGCTTGGGACATGCAATGTAATGGCTAGATATAATGATTTTTTGACCTTTGACCAAAAATGAATAATCTAAAATCACTCAAATTAAGGATAAATAATTTCATAGAGACAGCAACCATTTTGAATTTTCTTATTGTACAATAAAATTAATTTGAATTAAATCCACTTTTTTATATTGATTTGGATATCCTTACTTTTAATAGATAAGAAGATCTTTTTATTATTTTTTCCTCATGTCTTATTAATTTTGTAACACATTTCTTAACACTTCAAATAAAATCAAATTGAATTAATAATTTATTTCTTAAGTACTTCTTGATAAAGAGAAATTAATTTTTTTCTTTAGTTTTTTTTTATATTTAATATCCAAATATATTTAATAAACATTGGATACAATAAGATACTTATATATCACCAATAATTTAATAATTTTTGTTTATAAAAAATCAAGATTTATTTGAAATTTCAAACGTCTATATCATATATTATAATTATTTTATTATTAATAATGAAAAAAAAAAAAAAGAAGTTTGTATTCATCTAAAATTTGATATTTTAATTTTATACCCTACTATTATTTGATTATTTTTAATTATTGATGTGTTCATTAAAAAGTTGAGTTGAATGACTATCTTAAATAATACTTAATTGTTTATGATATTTTATCAACGTATAATACTTTTAAATTTTTTTATAGATTCTTAAAACACATGTTAATTTATATACTTTAAAATGGTCAATAAGAGCCAAAAATAATTATTTTAAAATTTAGCGGGATAAAAATCAAAAACAAATATTCTTTTAGGAGAGGGTGTGTAACAATCTGTCATGACTTCTATACTTAACAAAATCAACAACTAGTAGCAGAAAATCACTAAACACTACCTAAAGTTAACACAAGCAATTCTTAAACATGTAAGAGAATGTAAGAGATGATATATATATATATATATATATATATATATATATATATATATATATGATAAAACTATATAATGGAATAACTTTTACAACATTACTCTTTATGTCTATATTTCTATTATTTCATTTATTATATTTATTAATGATGAAAATAAATAAACACAAAATAATAATATTATAAAATTATCATAGAATTTTATTATACATGTATGTGTATAATCTATACTTATATATAGAAGCGATTTCCCATTTTCAAGTATATAATTTTTAAATTATTTTATCCTTAAATTTTTAAATAATATAAAATAATATTAAAAATTAACTATTTTTATAAATTCAAGACTTGAGATCTTGAGATTCAAGAATTAAACATAACACTAGTTAATTTAATAAATATTTAATAATTTTTAAATATTTTTAAACAAATATAAAGACACAAAGTGTGTCAATCCACTAGTAATATTATAAAGATAGTTACAAAAATAAAATTGTTCAAAATATGCGTATACAAAAATGAGAATTTTTTTTATACTAATAACATGAAAAAAAGCATTACATAATTCCATAAAAACATAAAAGTAATGATTTTTTTTTTGTTGTTTTTATTTATTTATGATAGTTTTTTTTAACAATTACTAATTATAAAATAGGTAAAAGAAATATTTACACCAAATAAAATAATTTTTAATATCAGTATAGATTATTGTTATTGTAATAGTCATATAATACCAAGTGTTGAAGTGGTTTTTATGAATAGTGTTAAAGTATATATATATATATATATATATATATTCAAAATGTTGTTAGGAATGTGATGCTGAATTAAGTATTGGATTAACTTTTTTAGTTTAAAAAGTTTGGGAATTAAATTTGAGTAATTGAAATACCATTTTTTTTCTTCTAAAATTAAGCCAAATATTTTAGGAAGAAAGGATAATTTTGTGGGAGATCTAAAATTATTTTTGCTAAATTTCTTTGTTAGTATGCTTTACTAAAATGAGTTAAAATTGAAGAGTTTTAATAAAAAAATTAATTAGCTAAAAATAAAGAATTATAAATTGTACCAAAATTTCAAGTTCTTCCCTCACTGGATCGCCTGGCTCCTTCAACCTCGAACTCTTTCTCACTTTCGCAAATAACCGAATTTAAACTGTTTTGAGTTATTGGATGGTTTTTGTTTAGCGGCCCAAATAGCATAGAACCGGCCCACCGTATTGGACTGAAGCCCAAATCCATTAGTCGCCCACCCAAGTCTAATGCCCACTCCCACTCACGAAAAAACAAAACCCACTGGCTCTATTTTCAACTTCTCCACTGCGATCACTTAGGGTTAATTGTGTTCGTTTCTTCTCCGTGCCACCGCACCACCATACACGACTATAATCCATAAGCTGTGAGTGTAACTCTAGGTCAAGCAACACCTATACAAATGGTTACATAAGAGTAATTACACCAAAAACCACAACAAAATTAGCCATCAGCATGGCCTCGCAATGCCATATGCCTTCCCTAACTAAACTTGTCATGCTCCCATGAAAAACATGATCATTGCAATTCAACTATTAGAAAAACATGCAAATAACTTAAGCAAATCAAGCTTAATTACACCACCACCATGCATACAATCATGTAATCACCAAAGCATATGAACATCAAGTTATACCACATTATATACATTCACCTATGAAAATATCCTACAATATGGTGAGTAATTTAAATGATTTGCCCTTACCGAATAAACAGAAACAAAGTTCCACAAAATATAATTATTACTAAAAGACAATAATTAATGACAAAAACTTACTGTGTGTTACATGGTAAGGACAATTTGATTAGTTATCTAAAAAGTGTGAGAAGTTTGAAAAATAAATATATGAAGAAATAAAGAAAAAAATAAAAACTAAATAAAAAAATATGGGAGTAAAAGAGGTTTTTCAAAATTAAAGGACGAAACAGGTAACAAAATAAGCACATCAAAAAGACAAATTCTCTTTATTATTAGCACATATATATCTAATTTATTAAAAGTATATTATCGTTAGAATAAGCTAAATGTAGAAACAAATATATTTATATTTGTGAATTTTTTTAATAAATCAAGTTAAAGTTCTTTGGTAAATAACTAAATATATTCCCTTTATTTTTTTTTCAAAAAAATTTGGACTTCATTGTTTTTTGCGGGACTCTCTCGTGCCAAAACTATAAAAGGGATAGAGTTTTGTTACTAATTTTCAGGGTGTTTGGATATATGTCTCTTACTCCAGTTTCACTATTTTTTTTTTAAAATTGACGTCAGATTTTCAAAATATTAGTAGTTTTTTTTTGTTTATACATCAGTGGAGTTTAACTCATAATCACGATTCGTGACTATTGTATATTTCTTAGTTTGATTTTTGTTCCTATTTTAGGATACACACTTCAATTATCTTCGTTATGACAGGTCAGTTCTTCGGTCTTGGTTTCCTTGTTCCAATCCGGATGGTCCGAAGGAGAGAAAAGGGGGGGGGGGGGTAGTTCAGAGTTAATTACGTACCTCGTTGGGGTCCTATTTATAGTGGTTCTTATTGGGCTGCAATTAGGGACTGGGCCCCGGAAAATTAGGGGTCTAATCCTGTGCATTATGTTAATTAATCTCTCCGTAACCATCTAGATGATGTCGACATGCTCGGCCGACTCCGCCGACCCGTTTCACCTCATGTGGGGGTAGTCGGCGGGTTCGGGTACTCGGCGCAAGTAGCGATCTCGGGGTATTCGGGCGTGGGGGTAGTTGGCGGGTTCGGGTACTCGGCGCAAGTAGCGATCTCGGGTATTCGGGCTTCTCGGCCACCATACGGTATACAACCCCCGCAGCGTGGAGGA